TTTATGGACTTGAGCATGGTTTGTGAACTGACTCCTGAGAGTGTGATGTTAGATATGCTAAAGGTTAATAATGAGTTCCTTAATGATATTAGAGAGAGTCATAAACTCGATTTGAAGCTGGTAGATTTGATTTCCGCAGGAGGATCGGTTGCAAAAGGTGACTTTAAGGTAGATGATTTTGGTGTGTTGAGATTATGAAGCAGAACTTGTGTGCCAGATAATACTGAATTGAATAAAATGATCTTAGAGGAGAGCCACAGGAGTAACTTGAGTATTCATCCAAGAGCTACAAAAATGTATCAGGATCTTAAGAAATTATTTTTATGGCCAAGTATGAAGAAAGATGTAGCTCGGTTTGTGTATGCTTGTTTAACTTGTCAGAAGTCAAAAGTGGAACATCAGAAACCTTCTGGTTTTATGCAACCAATGGAAATACCAGAGTGGAAGTGGGATAGTATCGTGATGGATTTTATGATTAGTTTACCGGATACAGCGAGAGGCTTTGATGCTATTTGGGTGATTATGGATAGACTGACAAAATCAGCATATTTTATACCGATTAACATTAGTTCTCCTCTATAAAAGTTAACGGAGATTTACATCAGAATAATAGTGAAGTTGCATGAGGTTCCGTCGAGCATATTTTATGATAGAGACTTGAGGTTTACTTCTGGATTTTGGAAGAGCTTGTAGGAAGCTTTAGGTTCCAGTTTGAAGTTGAGTTCTGCTTATCACCCGCAGACAGATGGGCAATCTAAGAGGACTATTCAGTCACTGGAAGAATTGTTGAGAGCTTGTATACTCGAACAGGGAGGTGCTTGGGATACCCATTTTTTGTTGATTGAATTTACATACAATAACAATTACCATTCTAGTATCGGAATGATGCCTTTTAAAGCGTTGTATGGTAGGAGGTGTAGGACACTCCTATACTGATATGAGTTGGGTGAGAGCATTGTATTTGGACCCGAGATTGTATAACAGACTACTGAGATAATTCAGGTGATCAGAGAAAAGATGAAGGCATCCTAGAGTAGACAAAAGAGCTATCATGATAACAAGAGGAAAGACTTGGAATTCAGCGAGGGTGACCATGTGTTTCTAAGGGTCAATCCTGTGACCGGTGTTGGTCGTACGCTGAAATCAAAGAAGTTGAATCCTAAGTTCATTGGATCATATCAGATTTTGCAGAGAGTTGGAGTCGTTGCATATAGAGTGGCACTGTCACCTGAACTTTCGAATTTGCATGATGTGTTTTATGTATCACAACTTCGAAAGTACATTGTTGATTCATCCCATGTGCTTCAAAGGGATGAAGTGCAAGTTCAGGATAATCTTACCTTAGAAGCGATGCCGATAAGGATCAAGGATCGCAAGATGAAACAGTTGCGAGGCAAAGACATTCCTTTAGTGAGAGTAGCTTGGGGAGGAGCTGCTGGAGAAAGTGTGACCTGAGAATTAAAGAGCAAAATGTGAGAGTCGTATCCAGAATTGTTCTCATCAGATACATTTTCGAGGACGAAAATATTTTAAGTGGGAGAGAGTTGTAACACCCCATTTAATTATTTAGTCGTTTTGTGATTTATTTTGGGTGATTATTTTGGCATTGCTTTGGTTAATGATATGTGTGCAAGGGTAGGTGTGAGAACTTGGTAGAATGAATTAACCGGAAATAATGCTAAGATAATATTGTAGTGATAATAATATAAATAATGAGATAGTTCATTAATATTATTATTATCATTATTAGTATTATTATTAATACTATTATTATTAGGATTATTAATATTATTATAACCATTATTATTATTATTATTACTAAAGTTAAGGAATTAAAACATAATTAGAGGAAAGTGGGGGAAAGAGAGTGGGAGAAATCAGTTTCACGTAAAAGAGAATATAGAGAAGAATGGAGCAGAGTTAGGGCAAGAGTAATCAAGAGAGTTCCACCATTGTTGAAGAGAAGAAAAGCTTGAAAATTCAGGTAAGGGGGAGAATGAGTTCTTTAATGGTGGTCTGAACATAAGAGGGTAGTGAGGGTTCCTTCCCTCTTAAGTTTATGTGCATTTCTTCTCCTTCTTGTTTGATTTTCATATCTGGATGGTTGTTATTATAGTATCATGTTTGTAATGCTGATATTGATGTGAAATTCGTATGAATTGTGCATTGTGGTTGTTGTGTTTTACCATTGAAACAGATCTGAAAATGTGGGGTTTTGAGGTTAACGAAAATGGATTTCAATTGGTAGAAAACTTGGATAAAATGATGAATTAAGGAAGTAGATTTAGGAATTTAAGATTACACTGATACAAATACTGTTTTAAGTCTGAATTAAGAGCTTGGTAGTGCTCTAATGGGGAAAAATCACACTGATGTGAAAATGAGTTTTTCTATGTGCAAAATGACCATACGTGTATGCCAGTGGGCCATACGCGTATGAGAGACACTCCCAGGGCAGTACGCGTAGCATACGAACCCCGTCCCTAGAGCGAGCACGATCCTCTGCTGAAACACGTATGGGAAGTGGGCAGTATGTGCATGGGGTAGCCATTACGCGTACGAGTTGTTCTCAGAGGGATTCTGAAGGCAATACGCGTATGAGGCCTGGGAATTTGAGCCCTACGCGGAGCATACCTAGGCCTGAGGCGAGGGATTGAGGCCATGCACGTATGGGGCAGGGTCATACGCGTATGGGCAGACCTGTGTTGGAAATTTTCCGTTTTTGCGATTTCTGTCCCGGTTTCATGTGCGATGCAATTTCTCTGGATCCGTAAGACTAAAATGATATAATTAAACATAGGAGAATCGATAATGACATTAAATATGATAAAAACATAGAATTTTATGTGATTGTCTTTATGAGATGTGTTTGATGCTTGTGCGCCAAGATTGTCGTTATATGGACGGTCTTGGGCAGTGGTGGTAATTCCTGAGGGAATTACGGTGAGTACGTGGCTCACGTGTGATCATTGAGGATCGTGGATTATGCATGAATGATAATTATATTGTGTATAATTGTGTGTCATCCATTCATGGTGTGTCTGGTGAAGATGGGTCTAGGTGGGAATCCATGATGGGTGTCTAGTCTCGTCCAGACTCCAAGTGAGAGTCGAGTGGAGATAAGTAGTTCAGAAGAGCGTATCTAACGGAAATCAGGTTCAATGAAGAAACCGTATGGATTGTGATGGTAACGCATGCACTGTGTCGTGTCAGTTGAGTCACATTGCATATGCATATGATTGATTGTGGGCTGAATATGCAGAGTATTGATGTGGCACTTGTTTGTGCGTTGTGATGGTATGATTGGTGTGATTTGTGCGATAACTATTCTTTATCATGTGATTTTTACCGTGTATTATTGAATGTAATTCTCACCCCTCTTCTGTTGCCGTGTCTGTGCTCCCTGAGAGTACAGATGATCAGGTACCTGAGTAGTGCTTGGAATATGTATTGCTATTGATCGAGTCTTAGGAGTCACTCTGATACGTAACACGAGAAGGATGAGAATTTTATTATTTATTATTTGTTATTGGTTATTTTTTACGTATCTTGTTTTGATTAATGTTATGGAACCACAGATTTTGTGGAAGTTTGGTGTAATTGAAGCCTTAGTGCTGAATCATTTGAATTTTCCGTTGTTTAACCAATTTATTATTTTTATAAGGAAATCAGATATGAAGTGATTTGATACTTCATGAGAATATTTTTGTTGATGTGGCATTCTACGTGTGTAACTCTGATTAATTTCTGCAAACTATTTCATATTTTTACTTATTAAACGAATGGATAGAGTAGGGTGTTACATTAAACCTTTAGGATTTTAGGTCTCAACAACAATAACAACAACAAACAACAACAGAAAAACAAAAACAACAACATTAATGCAACATCAGTAGTGTTAGATAAAGCTTATATATTAAATAAATCCATGATAGAATCGTGAACGAATCACTTTCCTTATAGTATTTCAAGCACTCTCGAATGTCTTAGAGTTTCTATGCAGGAATGCCGAGGATAACTCAGCATATACTCGAGTTTGCAAAAGACGGATGCAAATTCGAATGTAGGGAAGAGAATCTGGAAGTCTTCTAAAGAGGATATGAATTTTGTAATGCGAGTTTTGAATTCGGAATGACTTATTTATAAGTCAGGTTTGTGTTGTTTCACAAAGTTGTGACCCTTGATGAAACACCTTTTTAGTAACATTTTCATCAATAGCTGTGTTATTTCGTCTACAACAACGTTTTTCAATAGTTGCATGTTTTTCTTCTATAACACTTTACAAAGTGTTGCGTATTTTCGAATTCAAAAAAATCAAACTCAAATAATGATAAAAAAAATAAGAGCAACAACCATTAGCATTTGTCAACCGAAAGTCGGTCGCCAACCGTCAGAGCGCCACTGGCGCTACCGCATAACACCACGACTAGCCCAATTGCTCCGATGCAAAGAATATACGAAGTACAAGAGCCTTTAAAAGAAATAGATGTTAGACCAATTGTATAACACGAAGAATCACTATCAAAATCAATGTAATTATTTTGAAACTTGATATAATTCTTATGTTTCAAATTTTTCAAAAAATTATTATGACAAGAGTGTCTATCATATTCTAAATTTAAGAGCTCTAATTTCTACCTGCAAGGTGCAAACAATAAAATCATACATCCTTGGTTCACCAAACAGTAAAATAAACTCGATATGATTGCTTATTCTGTCTTGTCTGTTATTCTTACCGTTAAACAACCGAGCCTTCATTTGTTATTCATTTAGCATATTATAGTTTTTGTTCACTGTTTCTCCTAAAAAAGTCCAAATCCAAGTTAACAAGGTGTTGCTTTTATCTCATATATGTTTCAAAATGCAGTGTTGATTTAGTTTGTCCACCAATCTGTTATCCACCGACATGAGAGTGGTCTCCTCCATCTCTGTACAGTTGTTGGGACAACCATGCTTGTGATAACATTGGGCTTAAAAACAAGTATTCCAAAAGCAAACACTTAAGGAAGACTCATGTGACAAGCTTTCTTTTGTTTGTACTGTCTAGCATAAACAATGTACACCAACATATTCAAGAAACTAAGTCCAGCTAGAAGCCAGAAAAAGTAATCAAGGTGACCCTCATTCAAATTATCAGTTATCCATCCACAATTTCCATCTTCTGTTGTGATGTAATCAACAATAATGATAATCAAAGAGCTCAGATAATTTCCTAATGAATTTGTTAAAAGTGCCAATGCGCTGCAAAAACTGCGCATTGTATCCGGCGCTTGCTCGTAAAAAAACTCATGCTGTCCAACAAAGGTGAATACCTCAGCAGCACCAAGCAAGAAATATTGAGGTATCTGCCATAAGATACTAATTGGTACAGGGACATTTTCGTCAACTAAACCAAATTCTTTTGCCATTTGCAACCTCTTGCTCTCTACTAATGCCGCCGATGACATGCAAATAACGGAGAGAAAAAGACCAATTCCCATCCTTTGCAATTCTGAGAAGCCTCTTACCTTGTCAGTGACTTTCCTTGCTATTGGAACAATGCCTCTATCGTAAATTGGAACCCAAATGATGACAGCTATGATGTCGAAAGTTGAAAGAGAGGCAGCCGGAATTTTCAAAGAAGCAATAGTCGTGTCCATCATTTTCCCTTGTTCAACAAACAGCGATGACATTTGTGCATAAACAGCACAGAAGATTATTCCGGATGCCCATATTGGAAAAATGCGGATCAAAATCTTTAACTCTTCCACTTTTGTAACTGTACAAAGCCTCCATGGACTAGTCATTTCAGCTCTCTCTTTTTCTTCATCTGATATCACTGCTGCTTTATCCAGGAACCTGCACAAAGTAGAGTAATGAGTCATTTTGGTCCATAAATGTGTGAAGCGACGTCACTATAGTCTTCGAAGACCAAACTGACCAATGAAAGACACATACGAAGACCAAATTGGCTAACAAAAGGCACATTTAGTTATGTTTTTGTAATTTTGATACGTTCATAAACTATAGGGATAGCGACTCAATATTCCATTACCAAATTCTTTATTATCTATGCTTTGAACAGAAGAACACAAAGAAGGACAGTATATTTGGATATGAAAAGATGTTTGAAGCTACGAGATAACCTCAATCCATCACTATGCTCTAGTCTATGACTTCTTTCAATGGAGGAATTCTTCATTTCTCTTTCAAAGAGGAGACAAATGTCCGGAGGAACCTCCAATTTCCACTTGAATAAAGCAGCAGAAATCACCTGGCAAATTCTTGTAAGAGGACTTCCCACTGGCCTTTGAAATCTATACACTGGTGTACCTAGAAAGAAAATTACGATCGCAATACCAATAAACGATGCAGAAATTCCATATCCAAGTCCCCACCCAACATTTTCTTCAGTCCATACCAATATAGTGACGGATAAAAGTGCACCAATGTTACTAGTGAAATAATTCCAATTGAAGAACGATCCTTTACTCGCTCTTTCCCTATGATCCGTGTCATCAAACTGATCTGCCCCAAAAGGCCAAATACATGGCTTTATTCCACCAGTTCCCAGTGCAATTAAAAAGAGTCCAAAGAAAAATACAGCACTTTGAGCTAGAGTCGCTGATGGACAGACAGAATTCACACATTCCATTGGCGTCAATGCAGGAATGGTTGCTGAAATGATCAATATGCAGATTCCCTGCAAAAATTAATTATCACCTAAAAGTACTCCTATGGAACCTTCAAAATATGAGAAAATCATAATTTTAAATTTTACAATGAGATAGATTCCATAGAACACTGCAATTGTCCAGTATCTTCCCAAGTAGGCATCAGCAAAGAAGGATCCAACAAGAGGTGTAAGATAGCAAGTTCCCTGAAAAGTAGTAACATTTTTTGCTGCAGAAACAAGTCCTTGATGTAGTTTTGTTGTGAGATAAGTGACAAGATTTGTAGCAATCCCGTAATACGCCAAACGTTCACAAAAGAAAGTACCTGTATTAGACTATAGATACGTTACATGTCAAACAGAAAAATAACAAAAATAAAAAAATTGTTGGTTACTTCTCATGAGAACAACACATAGAACAGATAATCACCAAGAACAAAGGGGCATGATTTCCATTTTCCAGTTTCCCTCTTGATAGCAAGCTCTCCCTTCATGTTCGCTGACCCATCTCTTGCACAAACACTCTCTTCGGACTGCAAAAAATAAAAATAAATAACAGCATAAATTATAATGCTACATCTAAGTTACTACTTGTGCAGATGATAGGCTAAGTAGGAACCTGCAATGGACTATCTTCCAGAAGAAATCTGATAGGTTCCTCTAAATGTTCCATTCTTATTCTCTACTGTCTCGAAATTTATGGGGCCAATTTTGATGTCAATGGAGAGCCACTCATCTGTATTCTATTTTATAATCATAATGCTTATAGAGAATGGTAGGTAAAAAGTTGATACCCACCATTCTGAAGTTTCCCTTTTTTGTTAGTTTGAAAAGGAGTTGAGATTGCTTTTCACTTCACATTATATGGCTTTAATGAACGGTGTAGTTCAATAGTTGCTAAGATTCCATAATAAACAATACATATATTCTATGGTAAAAACAGTATACAGTAAAGACTAAAAACAATGAGTCATACAGAACTAGCTATATTGTAAAAATTTGAATCAATAAATACAAATATTCACTACTACCTTAATCGTTTGTGCACGTTTTTTATTTCATATTTTAATTATTTGTAAGAATACTTATTTAGAACAAATTCACTAGAGTCTGCATAATTTATCAATCATTTGAATTCAAAATAACAGGATTTTCAAGTTTCCTTTTTCTGAGTGGTGATTCCCCCTATTTTAGTTCCTCCTAAACAGAACCATAAGTAGTTGAATGAGTTCCCGTCGGCTTGATCATCAAGTCTTTGAATGAGCTTATAAGCTGAGTTTATTCGAAAGAGCCTTTCAATGCCGGCGGTTCAGCTGATCTTCAACCATAGTTATGTACAACATTCCCAGTTAGCATATACATTTTTATCATACAGAAGAATATCCACAATGAATGAAGGAAATATCAAATCATGCTTCCACACCTATGAGCAATAAGTGCTTGAAAAATCTTGAGAAATCTTCTTCTGCTTGTACATTTTTGCGGCAACTATGTATATGCACATATTTAATAAGCTAAGTCCAGATAAAAGCAGAAAAAAGTAATCAAGATGCCCATTATTCAAGTTATCCGGAATCCATCCAAGCCTTCCACCTTGTGTAGTGAAGTAAGTTACTATAGTAAGCATGAAAGAGCTCAAGTAATTCCCCAATGAAAAACATAGGAGTGGAAGTGCACTACATAAAGTCCGCATAGCATCTGGTGATTCCTCATAGAAGAACTCAAGCTGCCCAATGAATGTGAATACCTCTGATGCGCCTAATAAGAAATATTGAGGTATTTGCCAAAATACACTAAGGGGTACGGCAACAGGTTTATCGACAAGGTCAAGCTTTCTTGCAAGTCGCAGACGTTTAATTTCCACAACACTAGCTGCTAACATACACAGCCCAGAAATAAAATGGCCAATTCCCATTCTTTGAAACACGGAAAAGCCCCTTTTCTGGCCTGTAAATTTCCTTGCGATAGGAACAAGTATCCTGTCATAGACAGGGACCCACAAAACAACGCTTACCACATCAAAGGTTGAGAGGGAAGCTGGGGATAATTTGAAAGAACTAATATTCGTATCCATCATAGTTCCTTGCTCCACAAACAATGTTGACATCTGGGCGTAGACAGCAGAAAAAATTATGCCAGTAGTCCAAATTGGAAGCATGCGAATCAATATTTTCAATTCTTCCACCTGTGAAACTGTGCAAAGCCTCCATGGATTAGAATAGTCACCACTTTTGTTGTCTGAATCAGCCACTACAGCTGCTCTATCAAAATACCTTTATTTAAACACCAAGTAAAAACAAAATAAGATGTTTTATAGGGTATATCATTCAGTCATTATTAACAAAATATTATTAGTAGGAAGCAAAATAAAATTAAAAAATGTCAAAATTTCAAATTTTAGCATACAATTTCTAAGTGCAATGTTGATTTTCCACATGAAAAATGAATAAAGCAAATAACACTATGGCAGAAAACAGAGCTCCAGTAAAAGTATTACCTCAGATCATCACGATGCATCAGTTTGCGACTTCCTTCAACACCTGATTTCTTGTCGGGCATCTCATACAGGAGACTACTATCCTCCGGCACAACCAGATTCTTCTTTCGGACAGAAGCTAACACAACCTGGCACATTCTTGTAATAGGACTACCCCTTGGTTTTTGAAATCTGTATAGAGAAGTACCTAAAAAGAAACTTCCAATGGATAACCCCATGAATAAAGCAGGAATGCCAAATCCAAGACCCCATCCTGCATTATCTTGAACCCACACAATGAAGGTGCATGACACAATGGCGCCTAGGTCGATCGAAAAGTAATACCAGTTGAAAAAAGAAGCCTTCCTGCCCCTTTCCTTGGAATCAGTATCATCAAACTGATCTGCCCCAAAAGATGACACACATGCTTTTACACCACCAGTCCCAAGTGCAATTACATAGAGACCGAAGTAGAATATATAGTATTGCACAGGACTAGCCGGAGGACATACCGAACCCAAACACTCAGCTGGCTTCAAAGACGGAACAGATGCAGAAATACTCAAGATACACATCCCCTGCAAGATACAACCATATCAGTAGTATCACATACTAAAATGTGTTGAGACGATTATGACTAGGAGAAGAAGTGTATCTTAAGTGCATTACAACGAAATAAATCATAGAGAAAACAGCAATTGTCCAGTATCTCCCCCAGTAACCATCTGCCAGAACAGCTCCAATGAGAGGTGTAAGATAACAAGTTCCTTGCCAGACGCCGACATTTCTTGCAGCAGAGGCGTTTCCTTCGTGTAGTTTGGTGGTCAGATAGGTAACGAGGTTTGTTGTAATGCCAAAGAAAGCCAAACGTTCACAACATTCATTGCCTGTCATTTACATGCATAAACATGATACAAATGAAAATGAATCATCTAAAGCATTAAACATTAGGGCGATGTTAGAAACAGGCATACCTAGAATAAACGGACAAGCTCTCCAATTGCCAGTGTTGTGCTTATTTGCAGGCTTCCATCTAAAATCAACGGAACCATCTCCGGTGTATTGTTTGCTCCTTTCATCCTTAAGAAATAAAATAAACAATCACATCTCAAAGCAAAATACCACTTTTTTTAGGGACTTGGATTCTCTGACATGTAGTTGCTACAGCCAACAGATCCCGGCCATTATATGAAATCGGGTGAGTCGTATTTGAATTTCACCAAATCGGTTTTAGACTCAGAATACAACTGAAAATACGATCCGTCCTCCATCCAAAGGCCGATATTAGTGACAGCTGGAGCAAGGAATTGCAACAATAGATTGCTGGAAAAATGTTTTAAGAGTATTTTTGGATTCACTTTTGGCAAATCACTTGGCAAAGATGATTTTGCCTCTGTTTGTGATATATAGACTCAAATTTATTGTTCAACTCAGCTTCACATGAATAAATCCAAACATAGATGATTTCACCTTAAACTCACACATAAATAAAATCAATTCAATCAAAATCAATTTGCGTAGAAGTTGTGTGACAGTAATATTCTGAGAGAGTGATTAACATAAACTAACACAATTTTAGGATAAAACTAAAATATAAAATATGAAAATAAAGATATTTGCATGTGTAATTAACAAGTTCAAAATACAGAGTGAAGCTGAAAAACAGTTGACCGGTAGTTGTTATAAGACTGTCATGAAACGGGTTAATCTTTCATAACCATATAATAAAAATAAACTATTAAATTTAATAAAAGCAACTGCTTCAGAAAGAGATTAATTAATTAAACTAAGAAAACAAATATGTTAAACACGTTAATTTATTTATGAAAAAAAAAGTTTGAATTAGGAAGAAGAAGAAGAGAACCTGAAGAAGGCACTGTTCTAGTTCTGGAACGTCGTCGTTAATAGAGCCCATGCTCAGAGAGAGAGAGAGATAGATAGATTAGGAAGGAAGCAACGTGTGTTGAGCATAAAGAATCTTCATTTTCAAATTTTGTCGGCGTACGTAAGACGATTACACGATTGCTGACCGAATGAAACTTATATAAAAACCTCTAAATTGTAAAATATTATTTGTTTATAGTATAAAAAATGATAATAGATACTTAAATTGTACTATTGGATGAGGGAATGTTTTAAGGTAATATTAAGTATTAAAAATGCTAATTGAACATAATTATTGAGACGTAACGTCATAGAGAACCAATTTTAAATGGTGTTTTGGTCATTGTGATTTGAATTTTAAGATTAGGATCAACAACTCATTCTTTCACTTCTACATTTCCATTCACCCATAAATGAGTTGCTCTCTTTTTCCTCTCTTCGAAAATGATGTTCACTCTCATTTCCCTTTCCTCATAAATAGTTTGCTCTTCTCTCTTTTCTTTTGAGAGTGCTCTTATTAACATGACTAGTGGTAGTTAGTTAATTGTCCATTTATTCTCATAGCTATATTGGATAGTCGGTAGAATGAATCTTATTACATTGTTCAAAATATACATTTTGTTTTATACAGTGTAATGTACTAACAGAAATTGATAATGAGAAATACGGTATATACTTTACTTTTTTTTTTTTTTTTTTGGTGATATTAACATGGTATCAAAATTCAAGTGAGTTCTGGTGACCATTTTTCTTATCTTTCTTTTCTTGTTCGTTTAAGATTCTTTCACTCTCAATCTTAATTTTCTTTGAACACCTTTTCTGCAACTTCTGCATTTCATGTCATGGATCACTAGAGTTATGCTGATTTTACGACGAACTCCGCCAATTCCTACTATCTGCATTCAAACAAAAGTTTCGCTTTGATTCTTGTGGCTCAACCATTAGACAACAAGAATTACAACACTTGGTTTCGATCTATGCACATCACGTTGATTTCGAAGAACAAGGAGAAATTCATAGATGGATCGTTTCCCAAACCCTTTGTTTCTGATCCTCTATATGCTCGGTGGACTCGATGCAACACCACGGTACTTTCTTGGATTCAAAGACGGAGGCTGCCGAACAGGCTGCAAAAGACCTCTTAGAGGCGAACTTTATCTCGGAAATCAAGTACACCACTTAGTTGTCCAATGTTTTACTCGTTAAAAATAATAATGAAAAATGGTGAATATGCATTGACTATATCAATCTTAATAGAGCCTGCCCTAAAGACACATATCTCCTTTCCAACATAGATAAACTAGTTGATAATTCTGTCGGTTTTAAATTGTTATCTTTCATGGACGCGTATTTGGGCTATAACCAAATACCCATGGCAAAAAGCGACAAAAGATACACGTCCTTCATGACCGAATCAGGCAACTATTACTACAACATAATGCCCTTCGGCTTGAAGAATATTGGCGCTACCTGCCAAAGAATGATGAACAAAGTCTTCCGAGGAGAAATCGAGGACATGCTCGAAGTCTATATAGACGACATGATCGTGAAGTGTTGTGAGGAATTCGATCACACGACCCACTTGAAAAAGGTCTTCGAGCAGGCCAAGAAGTACAAGATGCGCTTTAATCCTGAGAAGTGCACGTTCAGGGTACGAGCGGGCAAGTTTCTCAGTTTCTATCTAACCGAATGAGGAATTGAAGCTAACCCCGACAAGTGCAGATACTTCTTCGAGTTCCCCACATCGAACTCAAAAAAGTTTATCCAGTCCATCAACAGGATGCTCACATCGCTTTCCTGCTTCGTGGCCAAGTCTGCTCAACACACCCTCTTCTTTTTCAAACTCCTCCACAAGGATGCCGCGTTCGAATGGACGGAGGAATGCGACAAAGTTCTCCTCCACTTGAAGCAAGCTTTGTAAGAACTGTCAGTCCTCTCCCGGCCATAAATGGGGAAACCATTTATCTCTACCTCACTGTCGCAACCGAAGCTGTGAGCGCCGCCTTCATTCGTGAAACTCCTGACAGGCAGACTGAGGCACTATTTTTTGGCCCAAACCATTGCAAGGGTCGGAGCTAAGGTACCAATGGATAGAAAAGGTGACCTTCGCCCTTATCAACATTGCGAGAAGCCTGAGGCACTATTTTTTGGCCCACACAATCGTGGTACGCACGGATCAGCCCGTAAAGCAGCTATTAGGCCGTCTGGATATGGCAGGCAGGATGCTCAAATGGTCGTTGGAGCTATCCGAATTTGACATCCAGTACGAAAGCATAAAGCCCCTTGAGGCACAAGCACTAGCTGATTTCGTGGAAGAAATGACCTTGCCCTACCACCCTAACAGGGGCGCCCTCAAGTGGATCATATTTGTCGACGGAGCGTCCAGCTCAGCAGGGAGTGGGGCAGGTGTCATCCTGGAAAACAAGGGAATCCTCATCAAAGTTTCGCTCATATTGTCCTTCCCTACCTCCAACAATCAGGTCGAATATGAAGCATTCCTCGTTGGTCTGCGCCTCACCAAAGACCTGGGAGCAGAATAAGTTGTCATCTATATTGATTCTTAGCTAGTGGCCTTCCAAGTTCGAGGCGAATACCAGGTCAAAAATGACAACTTGTTTGAATACTTGGCCCTGGTTAATAAGAAGATGGAAAAGTTCACCTTCGTAGAAGTAAAACACGTTCCCCGCGAACATAACGTCCTGACAGACATCCTATCAAAACTAGCAAGCACGAAGAAGAAAGAGGGGAACAAATCCGTCATCCAGGAAATAATCCCACGACCTAGCATTGAGAGAGCATCCACGACCCTCGATGTGCACATCATCGATGACAACCATTGTTGGATGACCCTAGTATACAATTACCTCAGAAAGGACGAATTGTCGTCCGACCCCAAGGAGGCCAATGTAGTAAGGCGTAGAGCCTGCTCCTACGTTCTGGTCGATAAAAAGATGTACAGGCGAGGATTCTCCATACCCCTCCTCAAATGGGTCGAAGAAGAAATGGTCGCACACATCTTGCGCGAGATCCATGAAGGAATTCACTCCCAACACCTTGGTGGGAGATCTCTCGCAAGGAAAGCTCTTTGGGCAGGTTACTACTAGGCAACCATGCAAAACGACGCAAGGGAACACATGAAGAAATGCGATAAATGCCAACGGCACGGAGACATGCACTTGGCACCACCCAATGAACTCAAGGTGATGTCCTCCTAGTGGCCATTCACCTGGTGGGGCCTAGACATCCTGGGACCATTTGTTGTAGGGTCAAACCAGAACAAGTATTTTATAGTAGGTGTAGACTACTTCACCAAGTGGATAGAAGCCGAGGCTTTGGCCAAAATAACGGCCCATTACATACTTCATTTCTATAAAAAGAACATCCTTACCTGCTTCGGCATTCCTCAAGCATTCGTCACAGATAACAAGACATAGTTCACGAACAAAAAGTTCCAGGAGTTCGTCGCCCAACTAGGTACTAAACAACACTTTGTCGAGCATCCTCAGACTAACGGGCAAGCCGAGGCAGCGAACAAAATAATCCTATGAGGCCTCAAGCGAAGGCTAGATGAAAATAAAGAAGGTCATAATCCTCATCGAGGCTCACGTTCCCTACAGGAGGACTGGGGCGCCCTTGGACGAGGAAACGAACGGGGAGGCCCTGAGGGAGGAGCTCAATCTCATAGAAGAGATTCGTTCAGGGGCAGCCCTCTGCGAGGTCTCGCTTAAAAAAAATCAAAATAGGGCACAACGCCAAGGTTATACAACGAGAGTTCCAAGTAGGCAACCTCATCCAAAAGGAGGAATCACAAAGATTTCCGCGAAGGTAAGCTCGCCGCAAACTGGGAAAGACCCTACCGTGTTAGAGAAAAATAGAGAATATGGCCTACTACCTAGAATACCTCACCGGGTAAGAATTATCTCGACCATGAAACGCCGAAAAGCTAAAACAATATTACAGCTAAGGCCCTTATTGTCGGCATGTCTCGCCCAAGCGAAGAGCATAAGCACCGACCATATGCGTGCGCCCGGGTATAAACGTTGCACCACCAACACAGATCTAAGAAGGGTTTAGTCGAAGAGACACAAAACCCATGCACGATAGCGGTTCCTCGACCGAGCCCATCGTTGCCAAAGTACCATGAACGACAGAACCCTCAGCTCGCGATGGGAAGTTCACACCGCCAACTCAGACCGCAAACGCGACCTGAGCTCCGCTCCCCTGTCGGGAAACTACCCAGGTTTTTCGACCATAATAATCAATCACTAAGTTGTCTCATACGACCAATGTTGGACTGCGTATGACACTTAGAAAAAAATTAGACAAAGTATAATTAAACATACAAGGCAATACATATTAACATAAAGCGGCCACAAGGGTCGCGAGTGTGCATGTTATAGTACAATGAGGCCAAACCCCATAAAACAAATTACAGATAAACATGTGGCATGCAGGCCAAAAACTTAAACTAGGGAAAGTTCACTGCTCCACCTGCTGGACTTCCTTTTGGGTCGTAGTTTCCTCTTGGCCCCCTTACGCTTGCCCTTCACCGCACAGAAGGAATTCTAGGACGACTATCTTGCCATCTTTAACAGAATAAAGAAACCTGGTGCCTTCGGTAGTCAGCGCGACATCAGGGTTTGTCGCAATTGCGAAAAACACCCGGCGGAAAAATAGAAGAGTCGCCACTGAACGTTATTTATCCCAAAGAGAAGGAAAGGAAACGATCGAAGAAAACCTGAAGAGCGGGAAAAGACAAGGCCATCGCAACCAAATCTTGGGTTCAAGAGTCGGTTACGCAAGGGGGAGGTATTAGCACCCCTCACGTCCGTTGTACTCAACGGGATCCACACCTGTTCTCTAATCAAAGGGTGTGTCTATCTATAAGCTAAAGCTAAACAGAAACGAGAACAAAAGAAAAAGAAAGAGACTCGATAGGACATCGCCGCCCTATGCCTACGTATTCCCTCGTACAATGGGAAAGTCAGAGTCAACGTAGTTCGAAAAACTACGGGTGATGGGGGGAAGGTT